CACACAGACACTTTCTCTCTCTCTGTCTCTCTTTCTCTCTCTTTCTCTCTCTCTCCGCCCTCTCTTTCTGTCTCTGTCTCTGTCACTCTCAGCCCCCCCCCTTCACACGCACACACCCTCCATCTCTCTCTCTCTCTTTCTCTCTCTCTCTCTCTCTCTCTCTCTCTCTCTCTCTCTAGCCAGACAGCTATGTCTTTTTTATTCAAGTTGTTGAAAAGCCAGCAGCAGCTGTGGAGGTAGTTGATTGGCCAAATCCCCCCAGCCGACAAACTCGGAATTCAAATTAGAAAGTTGTGCATATTATAGTTTCTCCCTTTTCTTTCAAAACGTTGCCCTATCAAACGTCTCTTATCTCGCCTATATCTTTATTTTGTATGTTACTCACAATACATCTAATCTTTGGCACATCTAATCTATTTGTGTTGCAATTGCCGTAAAACAGCCACTGGAACACTTTACTTGTAGAAAAACGACATTTGGAAGGTTTTAAATACTGAAGTCTATCTTTTTTTATAGTTCCCCTGAGGCAAGCATATTACTGTAAAAGCAAACCACTTTTGAAAAAGAATACTAAATGGTTGTGCATACCACCATTATGACAACAAAACTGAAAATGATCAACACTATCTTCATCCCAACACTCACCTATCAATGCCAAACATGGACCACGAACAAAACATTGAAGCAAAGAATTACAACCTGTGAAATGCGATGTCTTAGAAAAGCAGTAAACATGACTAGGCGAGACAAAATTAGAAACTAAGTAATCAGAGAAATGGCGGGCACAAATGATATCATGCATCACATTCAACACCAAAGAATCAAATGCTTCGAACATCTCAAGCGATTACCCCATCCAGCACAACGTGCCTACATAAAAAAATTGCAACACGGCTTGAGGGCGAACGAGAAAGACCTGGACAGATGAAGTCAGGGAAACAGTAACAACTCATGGTATCCTCATGACTCAAGCTCTCCCGCTGATGGCAGAGAGACGTCTCTTTCTTCCCGCGACACCCAAAAGGGTATAAGCTGAGGATAAAAGTAAAGTAAAAGTAAAGTATACACATTTCCTTCCATCCTCCTTTTTTTCTTCTTTAATCCCACTTCATCCCCGCCCCCTTTCCTTACCTTGGATTATTCCCCCCTCTCCAATTTTTTGTCTCCAACCCCTCCCTTCCCACCCCATCCCATTTTTTCTCAAATTAAAAAAAAAATTTAAAAAAATAACATATAATTTGTCTGTAGGTCTAAAAGATAACTTACTGGAAAGTGAGACATTCTTGGTCGAGCGCCCATTCAGTCAATTTA